ATTTTAGGTCACAATTCACAGTAATTAATAAACTTTTAATTAACACCACTAGTTTAATAAACTAGTGATTGGCTGTTTATTAATAGTTAGTAAGGTAGAAATTGGATTTAGGGTAGGATTAGGGACGCAGAACAAGATCATACTTTATAACTACTAATAAACAGTTAATATTTTAATAAATAGGCAGGTAATAAGCTAGTAGTTAAGAGCATTAATTATGATCTAAACTAAAGTGTTATCATATTAATATTTAATAATACAAATGTAGCAGGCGACGCAGTGGCGCAGTAGATAGTGCTGTCGCCTCACAGCAAGAAGATCGCTGCTTCAAGCCTCGGATGGGTCAGTTGGAGCTTCTAAATGTAGTTTGCATGTTCTCCCTGCGTTCGCGTGGGTTTTCCCCAGGTGCTCCGGTTTCCCCCACAGTCCAAAGACATGTGGTACAGGTGAATTGGGTGGCCTAAATTGTCCATAGTGTATGAGTGTTAGTGTGTGTGGATGTTTCCCAGAGATGGTTTGCGGCTGGAAGGTGCTGGATAAGTTGGCGGTTCATTCCGCTGTGGCGACCCCGGATAAATAAAGGGACTAAGCTAAAAAGAAAATGAAGGAATGAATGGATACAAATGTAGAAGTGGTAGTGCACACATTCGAAACCAAATTCACAATGTTTCATGCAAAGTCTACACCTAGACCTCTGAGCACTAAGAGTTAATTTTCCTTTGAAGCCTCTAGGAGCCAAGACTGATCAACAGGTTAGTCATTGTCAGAGCAGGGAGATAAGACCCAGGCGTAATGAGGCGGCAGACGCTCTGTCTGACTGACACTGTGGAATCCCTACAGAGAACAACACCTGGACTGCCACTACAGATGGTTTTGTCTTGCTGCAACCACACTGTGCTACCATTAGCTTCTGACGTCATGTATAAGGGTAGCATGCAGTATGTATACTGTGTGAAATATGCAAACAGATGACGCCATGTGAGTGATATTACACACAACAATAAAATGCTCTCAAAGATAGCTTAATATGGTTTGAAAGTTTTCTGCTGCATAATCCATTTGAAAAAAAATAAAAAATACTACTGGACTGTATGCAGTGCATTATGAAAACAGTAAGCATGTTTTCTGTTCTTAATGGTAAAGGAATAGTCCACCAAAAATAACAACAATCTTGACTTTAATGTATCCTCAAAAATTCATGTAAATTAATTTGGTTTAACTAATTATGTTGTTGTTTTTTTTGTTGTTGTTTTTTTTTTTGACTCACCAAGGACCACAGCTAAAAAGAAAAAAAAATGGATGGCTTAGGTTGAGTAAATCAAGAATGCATGTTCATTTTTGGGTAGATTATTCCATTCTTTTAAAAGAAATACAAAAAATAGAAAGAATTTTTTTAAGCACTTTATCGGATGCAGAACCCTTTACAGTAACAATTGCCATTGATCTTTTAATATTATCATTATATCTAGTCAGAGAAAGTTTGAAATTCTAACCCTGTGAGTAGCACTTTAGGGAGTTCTTCAATGAGAGGCCTATAAACGGTTAACTCAGCTGTCTAACTGAACTTAGACAAGATTATCGTAAAGACAAAAGATCAGTTTAATGTTTTATACTTTCATTTGGCATTTTGTCCCCCGACTCTTCACCCACAGCATTTTAATTTTGTCCCCACTCCGTTTTCTCACCTCATCTCCTTCTCCTTCTGGCCTGACAGCATCTTCCAGCTGAAGGGGGAGTCTGGCCTCAGACTGACTTATCACAAAGATCTGGCACACATGCACAAAAAGCTTAAGTTATGACTTCAACTCTAATGCAAATATCTTTAACAAAATAAGTTATCTAGCAGAATGTTTAAGCTGTACCTAGTACCCATCCACTTCCACTGAATGAATTTAAGTACTGGACGAATGCCTGTAAGAGGTGCATAGCACTGGAAAAGCGTCAAGGGTAATTCTAACTTAGTGGCTTAGTGGGCACATATGTGGAGAACACATTTTAGCTCTTAAGTGGATATTTAAAATATGATGACATACTGTGTCATTCTGCAGCTGTTTTGCAGCATATGAAATGTCCCAAACACTATTGTTAACTGTCCAAAAGTGGCAAAAAAATGTTTTTACTCTCTGATTGTCAAAACATGTTCAAAAAATTAATATGTTATATATGGATTAAAAAACAATCAGGAAAATGTGTTTTAGGTAAATTTTGACCACGAGTCCACAGTTATGGTCATCATTTTTCTTTAAAAGTACATCATATCAAGAGATGATACTTAGGCTTTTATTCTAATTAGATTACAATAAGACCAAATAGCAAAGAGACATAAAAAGTGGATGTAAAAAAAACAACTTGGGCCTTAAGAGGTAAAAGCAACACTGAGACATACTTTCATGTATACTTCTGTAAAGCAGCTTGCTTTAAACCACTCTTGTATAAAGGTCTGTATAAATAAGCTAGAAGTGACTTGACTAAAATGCAGAGCTAGTAGAGCTCAAATGCTCTCTTAACAGATGTTTTCTAACCGGTGTTATTTTAGTTTAGGATTATTTCGTTATTGAGATCAAAAAGCACACATCTTTACATAGTCATTTAAATGTGACTCTCAGTAGGATACCAACTGTATAAAGGCACCATTGACAAAACGGTGTAAAAAATAAAATAAAATAAATAATTTCGGCTGCAAGTATATTTTATTAAAAGTATATGGCATTAATAGGGATGGTTCACCCAAACAATTGAATATTCTGTAATAATTTATTTAGCCTTATTCCAAAAATGTCTGAGATTTGTTTGTTCTGTTGAACACGAAAGAGAATATACAGAAGAAAGCTGAATAAGTAAGATATAAAGATGATATAATCCATCATGATGAATGCGTACATTTAGCTTTCAATTATTACACTTAACATTTTAACAAAGGGAAAATAGAGATGAATGTGTGATCTCTACCCTCTCCACGTGAAGCTCCACATCCTGCTGAGAACAGCTCTCGATCTTCTGCTCCACCTTCTTCACTACGGCCTCCACATCAATGATGCTCTCCTTTGTGATGCTGTGAATGGATAAAGCATAAGGATGAAAAAAAAAAAAAACATTTGGACAGTTGACAACATGAGAATAGTCAAACAATGCTCTTCAAATATGCTTTTTTCTTTTTAATATTTACATTGACATACAGTTTTATGGGGAGTTTTAGTCACAATAATTCCAATAAACAAATCTAGGGCTTGTAAAAATGTATTGTTTTGTTCAACTTTATTGCTTTAAAATTGATCAGGAAAAAGAATTCAATGAATTTTTATTTATTTTTTTATTTTTTTATTGTTATTATTATTAGTAGTTTAAACCTGAACGAGCAAACAATTAAAAAACTTATATTCTGTTGAAGATTTATTGTCTGGAAAAAAAAAAACAACAACAACAACACAGAAAATATAAATTATTTTAATAAATAAAACTAAATCCCCCCCCTCAGCATTCAGAAACAGAAACTGCAAAGCAGCTTCATGGAAACATTAGATCATACGGTTAGGAAACAGTTTGGTTGAAATCCTATTTTGTTTTAAACCATTTCTCTCTTGAATTGCACACAGTTCTCCTTTTCAAAGCACACAAACACACTGCTGTGATGATAGCAAACCACATCATTTTTTATCTGATGAAACCGTATTTTACATTCTTTACACAACAAATCTAAAGGCCACAGGTTTCTCACCACCATAGGTACCACAAAATTATATTTGCTTAAAATGAATTTTTCTAAAAATGTCTAATTTGAAGCTCTGTTTGCTCCAGAGTCATATGAGTGTTTTTATAACTGGAGATACAATTTCCATAAATATGAAACTAGAAATTCATTACATTAAGTCATTTAGCAGATGCTTTTGTCCAAAGCGACTTATGCCTAGTTCAGACTGCGTGATTTTAGCCCCGATTTTGGCTCGCCGACAGGTTTTGAGAAATCGCCGACAAATGCCTGAAATCACAGGCAAATCTGTGCTCGTGCACGTGAGTGACAATCACACAGTATGAACGATCAAAGACGCGATCTGAGAAAATCGCCGATGAGTCTCCGATGCCTGTGAGATATTTGGCATGCTAAATATCTGGAGCTGATTCAAATCAGGCCGTGTGAATTGAGTTTTGACTGAAAATAACATCAGCGATCGCATACAGCCAATGAGTGCGTGTGTGTATACCTGCTACAGGCCAGCGGGAGGCTGGGGGAGAAGTTAAAAGTGCTCTTTTTCGGTTTATTTGGACCCACGAAATGGAGGAAAAACTAGTGTAGGTTTGACAGGACTCAGGAGCAACCGTGTCTGTTTGACGTTTCATACAGAAAGATATTAGTTTATTATCAACGTTGAGGAGAAATGGCTAATTCCCTTTAAACCCAGGTGAGCAAACATGTGCATGTTCTACCCCATTAAAGGCTTCTTTCTCATTATGTAGTTAATAACAAAAGATATACTACATGTTTTTGGCTGTGAGACGTAGTTTGGACGAAGTTGCCGGCGATTCTCTTTATAGTAAAGTCATGCAATGTGAATGTCCATGTCGCCGAACCATCTTGCAGTGTAAACAAAGCAGCGACGAAACGCCAGCCCAGATAGTCATGCAGTGTGAAAACATCTGTGACACGACTAGTTTGAAAATCATGCAGTCTGAACTCGGCATTACAATTGAGGAGGTATGCAGTGACTCAACAAGAAGAGGCAATACACACAACAAGTGCTAGTTGTTAATAACTTCTTTGTGCTCAGAGAATTTAGTGCTACAATTTTGAGGAAGAGAAAGAGAGAGAGAAAGTGCTTCTATAGTGGATTTCGGTTTATACACCAGGGTTAAGGTGCTCTCAAAAGAGAAAAGTTTTTAGTTGTCTTCTTGAAAACACACTCAACTTAAATAAGTCAAAGCTTGACAAACAAGTCACTTCCTTTTATAATTGAAAAAAAAGAAAAACATTTGTCAACTCTGTTACACAATGTTAATTCTGTTACTCTACCTTGGTAACCACTCTACCACTATCCTGCTACCTGTTTGTGACGTTAAATATATTCCCACCCTCCACATACCACACACACAAAAATAAATATGTGACCCTGGAACACAAAAGTCATAAGGGTCCATTTTTGGAGTTTCTGATCTACAAAATTGCATTGCATAAACAAGCTTTCAACTGATATGTGTGTTATTTAGGATGGAATAATATATTCTGGAGTTGCAAATATTCTAAGGAATCTGAATGGTCGAAAAAATTTAAATATTGACAAAATTGCAATTAAAGTTGTACAAACTAAGTTCTCAACAATGCATGTTATTAATAAAATAAATAGATTTTGATATAACATAAAATTTAGTAAATCTATTCATAAAACTTGAAAATATTTAGTATTACTCTATATTGTAATGATTTTAGCATATAAGAAAACTACATCATTTTGACAATGTATTGTTGGGTTTTTTATCCTCGTTACACTGGCTGCCTGTTAAGTTTCATATTGAATTTAAAATATTGCTTCTTACCTATAAAGAATAATCTAGTTCCTGTTTATCTAACCAACCTTCTGTCTTGCTACAATCCAACCTGTTCTTTAAGATCTCAAAACTCAGCACTTCTAGTAGAAACTAGAATAGCAAAGTAAAGTAAAGGAGGTCGACCCTTTTCATTTATGGCTCCTAAACTCTGGAATAGCCTTCCTGATAATGTCTGAGGCTCAGACACACTCTCCCAATTCAAAACTAGATTAAAGACCTATCTTTTTAGTAAAGCATACTCAGTGCATCACATAGCGGTATGATACATGAATGTGCTCCACACAGGTTTCTGCATGTCGTTTATATACACTATGAACAGCAGCTACGCTAAGTATTCTCTTTATTCTCCATTTCCACCTAGGGATACTCATCCCGTGACCCTCAGACTATGCAGCACCATTGATTTGATCCAAGACCAGTGACAAAATAATCCCAAGGTTTCCATACCCTGGACCAGGTCCTATCTTGAGCAGCTACTGTGGTGGTCATGGAGGAGTAGAGAGCATTAGACTGATTCCTGTGACGCTCCAAGGACAGACAAGTCTTCGCTGAAGTCCAGCTTCCAGCCTCTGGCGCCTTGACTGCAGCTCTGCAAGACGTTTGGCCAGTGGAGAAATCGTTGTGTCCAACTGAACCTGTTTTTTTAATTCTTCACTTTCGCCAATTGGTGAAGTTTTGTCCTCGCCACTGTCGCCACTGGCTTACATGGTTCTGGATCTGTAGAGCTGTGCATCGATGGATTTGCTCTTCAGTGTTTGGACTCTCAGTAGTGATTATTAAACCACACTGAACTGAGCTAAACTGAACTGAACTTAAACACTAAAAACTGAACTGACACCGTTTTAGTTTACTATGATCTTTCATGTGAAGCTGCTTTGACACAATCTACATTGTAAAAGTGCAATACAAATAAAGGTGAATTGAATTGAATTGAATTATTCCTTAAAAAAAATATGTATCAGTGCAATTTCAGATGAAAGTTTAACTTGAAAGTTTTCCTGTTCATCACAATCTACACTGAATGAAGCACTATAACTATGAAGGTTAGATCAAGACTTGACTTGATCAAATGTTCCTGCAATTTTAGAGTCATGACAAGCTATATTCATTTACTTATTTACACAAAGCTAAAATTTTTGATCAACCCTTAAACCTAATGTTTAACGCTTGACCCACATTGTCACTATAAACTATCAATCAAGATCCGTCAACCAAATAAACAAACCATGCCCCTTTGTTGCGACACGAGGACAAGTAATTGATGGCAGAATTTTCATTTTGGGTGACCTATTCCTTTTAGTGAAACAATATTAGATTGGAAAGCCTCATTCTTTCTCTCTCGAAGGTCAAATGTAAAGACGAGGGCCAACTGTCTGTTTGAGAAGCAGACGGCATAAATTGAGATTGCAACCTTCAGCTCTGGTCATTACAAAGGGAGTAATGAGAGACCAGAGAGAGATGAGAGAATGAGGCGCACAAGTCCCTGCCAGCTGCTGCTCTGGGATCAGCTCCGCTCTCTAACAACCTCCATGCAGACCCCGCTGCTCTTCATAAGTCCTGATTAAGTCTGGTTACTGAACACTAAGCCGGCTGTGATGGGCTCAAGCATTAGTGCTTGTGCATTGAAAGGACATTGGCCTGAAGGGAGAGGTGGCTATAAAGAGAGGATTATACAGAGCGAGTGTGTTTGACCTGCTCTCTGATTGTGCACATATGCTTTATCTCACACCACATTTGATTTTCAAAAACATTTACTAAAGAAGCCGAGCAAGCACTGCTAATAAGTATGACCCAAAGTGTCTGCAGGGTTTTTTTTTAAAAACATTAAACACGTGGAGAATTAAAATGAATACCATAATGGAAAGCATTATGATAATATGTAAGTAATAAAATAAAAACTACCACAAACACGATCACAAACTTGACTGTTAATAATAATATTAATAATAATAATAATATGTCACCTACACAATCACGCACTGCATGATATGCAGTGAAATGCTTACACAAGCACTCTTGACCTTAAAATAATAACAACAATATCAAATATAATAATTATAATAATAAGGATCTAAATTATTGATTAATAGAAGTTATGGCATATAAAATAAAAGCAAATATAAAATATTTAAAGACTTTAGATATAGAGTATGTGGATGTAGAAAATAAAAATAGTAACAATGATGATGATGATGATAATAATAATAACAATACATATTCTATGTAGTTTTGTTTCAAAATAACAATAAAATAAATAATAATGATACAAATGTAAACAATAGACCCTACATTTCAGACTTATTAGTCAAAATTATGAATAATCACATGTACATTAATTTGATTTATGTATATGTGGCCAAATGAATCAATATATTATCTGCATTATATTACTTTTTCATTCGAAATGCATAGAAAGCATATAAAAAATACATATTAAGTGTCTAATTCAGGGTTGTCCAAACTCAGTCCTAGAAGGCCAGTGTCCTGCATAGATTAGCTTCCTTCTACACACTAGCCTGGTTCAGGCGTGTTTATATTGGAGTTAGAACTAAAATATGCAAAACACAGGGGCTCAAGTACTGAGTCTGGGCACCCCTGGTCTAATTAATGTTATAAATGTCTCTGAATACAAAAAATAAGAATGGGTTAAATAATCATTATTCGTAGTCTTATTTCTTTTAGTTTGGCTGGAATAAAAAAAAGACTTGCGTAACTACAGGCTGCCGAATACAGCACTGTTGTCCAATGACTTGCCAAATGAATCTAGTTAAGCCTTTAAATTGCACTTTAAGCTTAATATTAGTATCTTAAATTATTTCTAGGAAAATATTAGAGACTGTCATCTTGATTAAGTCACAACCACTTGTGAAATTAAAATAATAACAAAATAAGAAATAATAATAGCAATAAAAATCTAAATTATGAAGGAATGGAAGTTACACCATAAAAATAAAAGCAATTATAAAATATTTAAAGAGTTTAGATATAAATTATGGGCTGAAGCAAATAATAATAACAACAACAAAAACAAATCACTATATGTAGTATTTTTTTCCACAAATAACAAAAATATAAACAATAAACCTTACATTACAGTCAGACCTTACATTATAATTCACAATTATTAATTATTACATATGTATTCATATGTTTTATGTATTTATGCCAAAATTATTTATTTTAGTTTGGCTGGAATATAAAAAAATAAAAAATAAAGACTCACAATGACTTGCCTAATTAATCTAGATAGGCCTTTAAATGACACTTTCAGCTAAATACTAGAATCTTGCATTATTTATAGTAAAAAATTAGGTGCTGTCATCTTGCAAAGACAAAAAAAACAATTATTAAACATTAATTGTTAAACCTATTATGTTTTTCAAAATAGTTTTTATAAAAAATGTCTTCTATAGCTAAAATATATATTTTTTAAAGAATTTAATTTTGTAATATTCTTGCATTTAACTGATTATTAATGTTGCAGCAAAGCTTGATTATTAAAAACTGCATGTCCACTGACCAACAGATCATCAGCTAGAGGGAGCTGTGATCCATTGCACATGGTACTCGGATGTTTGAGCTGGACAACTATCATCTGGATCGAAGGCATCATTTTTTCAGGAAAAACTGCTTAGTAATAACTTTTTGATATGACATGAAAAGGAGGTGAAATGTTGTAAAGTAGCAGATTAAATTACTGTAGCAATTAGCACTGGCTTAACAACTTGCACAAAACCACTAAACCGCTTCAATAAATACATACAAGGCATTTTAAAATAAAAATAAACCATGAGAAGCTGAGTATTGCAGTAATTCTCCCATTGTGATCAAATAAACCATAAATCTTACTGCAATACATTGTAATTAGCTCCAATAACTGCTTTTAGAAAAATGGTGACCAAAAAAACACAAGAATAAATGAATATTTACATCAAATAAAACTATATTTTTTGCCAAGTAATAAAACCCTTCCAAACTAATTTTAGATTCAGAATTACACATTTTGTAAAATTACTCTTTTATAACTTGTATGATTTTTTCTTGTCAGGAAAAGCCTTCAAATATTAGCAAGGCATCTAAGATAATAGAGAGCATTTGATTGGTCAAGATTTGATGAGAAAGTCCATTTAGGCGAAAAGTAACAAACTATAAGCTTTGTTTATATCAGGCTTGAATCCTCTAAATACAAAGTTTTTCACTGTTATGGAAAATGCTAGCTTATAGATATCCTTAAAACAAACATACAGATACTAAGATCCTATAAACTTTAATTTCACAGCACCTTTAAATTATATTATTTGGTGACTTTACTTGCAAACAATTTCAGGTACACATTCAAAAATCAACATTATTTTAAAACATGACATTATCATTTCAGATCATTCTGGTGAATATTAACAGTTCAAAAGCACATCCATCTTAATGACATATTTGGAAAATCAGTTTGGGTGTGATAAGAATGCTGCAACAAAACTCAAACAAACAAACAAAAAAAAAAAACTACATATAATGTGGCAACCAGATTTCATTAACATCCCCTAACTGAATTTATAACTGAACCGTTTTGTTACTTCACTAAGATTTACGTAACACAAAGAGAGGAACTTTCTCGGCAAAGCACAAAAATCTGCTTCAATGATCTTGCGAGTTTAAGGAAACGCTCATCTTAGATTTGCTGAGGTGAAATCTTTCAGTTAGATAAGAAACAAGCGAGTGCAGTTATCAAGCAGGAGCCTTTTCAGTAAAGAACAATCGCATTCAACTGTGAGCAATGGGAAACTAAATCCGCCACGTAAGGAACTGGAAAGGAACTCCCCAGACCACAACACCCTTCCTAATTCATGAGCGATAATGCGAATAGAGTTTAGCCTCCATTCAATGCTGCATGAGCAAACAGAGGATGTTAACATGGTCGAGCACAAACCCTCTGACCCTATAAAAGACTTGAAGTGGACTTTTAAACAAGCGGACAAACCTTGTCTGTTATATAGTTTGGAAAGTTTATGAGATTAAATATTTCATGCAGCAAAACAGACATTCACATTTGCATAACAAGTCAATTCACACTTTCTAACTGTCCATGATAGAATAAGTAATAAAACATAAACTAAATTATTATTATTTTAGATATAGACTGCAGTTCTGCACAAGAAGTTTGGCCAGAGGAGAAATGGTCATGCCCAACTGAGCATGGTTTCTCTCAAGGTTTTTTTCCTTTACTTTCATCAATTGGTAAAGTTTTGTTCCTCAATCACTGTCGCCACTGGCTTGCTTGGTTTGGGACTTGAGGAGCTGCGCATCGATGGATTTGCTCTTTAGTGTTTGGACTTCCAGCAGCAAAAATTAAACTAACATAAAGCTGAACTTCATCTCTGAAAACTGGGCTGCAGTTTCAATTTACTAGAATGTCTATGTTAGGCTGATTTGACACAATCTACATTGTAAAAGCGCTCTAAAAATAAAGATGAATTGAATTTCATTGTAAACCTAATTTGTTTGTAATGTTTTTAAAAGAAATTAACAATTTAACCCTTATCAAAAGACAAATCCAACGCAATGTTCATGTTAAAAATTATCTTTATTTCAAAATAAATGTTACAAAAATATTAAGGAAAATAACATTATATGAGCCTTAAGATTTTTTGCATAAGGCTGGCAATAATTTGTTCAACAAAACAACATATTAAAATGGATTATGTAACACTGTAGGCTATAGTATTTATGATGATAAAAAAATTAAATAAAATAAAATAAAGTTAATTCACTATAATATTATTATTATTATTATTATTATTATTATTATTATTATTATTATTATTATTGTCATCATTATTATTATTATTATTAATAATAATAATAATAATAATAATAATAACAACAACAACAACAACAACAATAATAATAATAATAATAATAATAATAATAATAATAATAATAATAATAAATATTTATTAATTAAAAAAAACATACTACGAAGTTATTTTAATAAAATTCACTTTATTGTTTTATTGTAATATTGGTCCAACAAAACCAGCCTTTACAAGGGTAAAAGTCTTAAGGTCATCCAGACTAAATTGATAAATATGAAACTAAATGGTACCTAATGTGCCTCAACGTGTTATGTTTTGGGCTGAAAGGCGGTCCTATTGTCCCACAAACCTCCATTTGACCTCATTCATTCTAGCCAGACTTTTAGGTCGACGTGTCTCTCTGATGTATCTCCTGTTTGTTGTTTTAAAGGGAACTACCCATTACCGTGTTGAGAGAAAGCTGTTTCCGACTTTGAAAAAAAATGGAGCTTTTGTTTTGAAGTGAAACTTTATCGATCGCCACTTAACATGTTAAAATGAAAGGAGTCTCCAGGACTTCACTTTTTCCCACAATTGTTTGACAGGAAACGTGGCCTATACTCACTTAGCAGCAAACTTGACCATCTGCTTGCTGGCACGATCTCCCACCGCGAGCAGAGCCTGAACCGTGAACTGCTGGTGACGCAGGACCAAGAAGCACTGCTTCCCTGGAGAAAAAATAAATAAACTGTCAGAAAACATACCTGAGAAAAAAAAATACTCGAACAATGCTTGCTGACTATCTAGAATAAAGAGCACACTAATAGGACATAAACTGGTGGTGTAAGCTTTGTTTGTTTGTTTGTAGTTTAAGATATCAATACCAACTAAAGATGTAAATCAATAAGAAGCTACAAAAAGGTTTTATAAATGTTATAAATGACCGTTTGAAATAATTCGTTATTCAAAGAAATCTGTATTAATAAAAAATGCTTAATGGTTTCTGCAAAAAATCTTATGTATTTTTTTTAAATAGTATTAATTGATTTCATCACCAATAATAAAATATTTACTATAATCTCTGAAGGACCATATGGCATTAAAGACTGGAATAATTTAGTTTTGATACAAGAGGAATAAATTATATTTTAAATATACATTGATATAAAAATATTATATTGATATAAATAATTTTTATACATAAATAATTTCACAATATTTTTTTTTATTATTTCAAAAATAGCAGCCTTGCTGAGCATAAAAAGCAAGACAGTAATAAAATTGTAAAAAAAAAAAATCCAACTTAAAATAAAGATGTTTTATTTTTTTTATTTTTTTGCTGTTGTAATTTTTAAACTTTATTCATTTCATTTTCTTTTCAGCTTAGTCCCTTTATTAATCTGGGGTCGCATCTTTAAACTTATAAATTAGAAATAAAGGCATAAAAATATTTGTAAAATCATAATAAAAAATCTACTTTATTGTATAGTGATCAAAAAAGAATAATATAAAATAAAATGTACAATAAAAATGTTTACTATAATCTCTGAGGGATCATACAACATTAATGGCTGGAATAGTTTTGATACAAGAGGAATAAATTACATGTTATTGATATAAAACTAATATATTGATATGTGTGTTCTATACATTAATAATAATTCACAATATTAGTTTTTTAGGATTGTTTTAATTCAACAAAGCAAATGGCAAAAAGCAAATATATTTACTACATTGATGCAACTTCATTGTAAAAAGATTTAAAAAAAACTATACTAGTACTATAAAATAAAATGTAGCATTATATAACTTTAATATTGTATCAATAATAAAGTGCTCACTTTCACCATAAGATCTCTCTGAATTTCTTCAAATGCTATGATCATGTTATCTTTACAGAAACAAGTTAATGTAGATGATATCAGATTACAAAACCAGCACAACAAGTCGAGCTCTTCAACAACACATTTTCCTGAGAACACTATCATATTTTGACTCCATGAAACACACAGAAACCAGCTCTACAACTATGATCCCGGATAGAGATTATTGCAGCACTGGCCATAAAAGCACCAAGTTAACTAGCACCAATCAGTTGTCAACAGACAGCACAAACCTCTTTGAAAGACACAATATACGCAACCCTGTCTTGTCACCAAATTGCTTATCAGACACCTTGAGAGTGAACAAACTGGGATCTGTGTAAACCTGCCATGAAGCAGGTCAAGATCAGAGACCACCCAGACTCTTTGAAGCCTGACAGATAGTCGAGTGCTAGTTAAATAAGCAGAACCCTTCATCCCTGAACAAATCAGGATGTTGTTGTGCTAAAGGACATCCTTCAGCTCGGAGTTCACTGACAGAATGAGGGAAGCTGGAGGTTAAAGGATTCTTGACATGGAAGTTGTCCAGGAAGGAATCTTTGGGAGATACAGTCATAATACATGGTTAATTCATTAGCACACACTTAAAACAGACGGGTAGGTGTGAGACCCTCAGACCTGAAGTGTGTGGGGAAGACAAGGGAAACCCGCAGGGTTTCACTTGGCCTGTGGATTCAACTGTACAGTTTCCATTGTCATTTACTTAAAACAAACACAGCCGCAGAAGGAGTTTATCAGTTCCTTGGTTTCATAAGCCTTCATCCCCTAACAAATCTGACACTAAATAATGTTAATGGGACCAATATCCCTCAGAGACCCCATAACCTGCACAAGTATGGAAAATTAAAGCACTTATTTTTTTAATAATAATAATAGAATTAATTATAATATAATTATAATAAAATTATTATTATTATCATTATTAGCGACAGACAATATTTGGCTTCAATGTTTACCACAATTTAAAAATCAGTCTAAACTGCCAAAATTTTCTATTATACCATATTTGCGGTATATCTAAGTTGTTTTTTACATGTTGTCAAAGACTTTTTTTTTTTTTTAGGGCAACAGTATCTCCAGCATCAAAAGAGCATCCACATCAACAGTTACTGGTCAGCCCACGAGTCTGAAAGCATTTGAAAAACAAATCACTTATGCACCAACATCCAAGCATGCTAAGACTAAATAAAGTGCAGTGGCTTACTTTACATCCAAAAAAAAAAAAAAGAAAGATATCCAAAGATGCCTTTTAAAGTTGAAAAGAAATCTGTGTTTTTGAAACTAATGAAGACAGCAGAGGCTGACATGTTTACTGTTTCTTAAAATAAAATATATTGCGTTCAATGGGGGAAAAGGTTGTTGTTTTCTTACCCAAACATTTAAAAAGACTTTACTTTAAAGCAATAATCAAAACACTGTGATGCAATGAAACCGTGGTATTATTATCCAAGGTTATCATACCGTCAGAATCTTAATTATATTATATTTAGGGATGTAACGATTCACAGTGAGCTGGTTGAAAATCGATTCAAATATGTGATGATTCAAACCGTTGAAAGAATCGCGATACATTTTTTAAACAGATGGCACTGTGTTTATAGGTGCAAACTTGACATGGTTTCCGCTATATTCGTTCTTCCATGCGCCACCAAAATGCATCCCGCCACGGATACATTCCAGCTTCTCATTTATAACATTGTCGTTGTTGTTTTTTTAATAGCGGGTTATAGTTGCACCTAAACTTATTAATAGGTAAGTGAATTATAACAGCGTGAACTTTTCTGTAATCGTAGTATTGCTGTGCATTATTTGTTTAACCCTTTGAAGTTACGTACTGACTGACTGACTGACAGGTGCGTGATGCGTGAGGCCAGCAAACACGATGTAGCTTTCAGTAAGGATGAACATAATTTGCATAATTATCCTTTATAAATAAAGATCTGCCTATATGGTTCTGCATATAATGACTTTATCTTTGCTGGAGTATATTACTGTTTCACTTTACTTTAAAGTAAAGTACTTTAATGCCACTCTGTAGGTCTAGTGGCAACATTCATAAATACACCTAAAAAATCAAATATATAGTAGACATACTTGCTACAAAAATGTGCTGAATTGCACTTCAGTAGAGTTTATTTGAGAGCGCACAAGAAGATTTTTGCTTGAGTAGTATATATTTAAGGGGGTGTGCAAGAGGTTTTGTGCACGAGCAGAGGAAAAAAGATTTGCATGCTCAAATTGCAAAAGTGCGATCTCGAATTGTAATACAGTGCTCACGACATTTCTCCATTTGTTATTGAAATAACGCAATAAGTGGTATGTAGATTTGTGTAAAATGTCTGCCACAACAGCTGGAAAAAATCATAGAGGAAACACTGCTTGATTTACCTGTACATGATTGACGAGCAAGAGGAGGGGCAGCAGAGTAAAATGACAACAGTGAGGTGCGCCAGATAAAACACAAACTGTGTGCAACTACTGCAAAAACACATTTACTTACACTAACAGAACAATGAATATTATGCACATATACCATCAGCACAGCTCAAAAAAAACCACGTCACAAACGTCTATATGCCAAAAAAAACTGTTAATAAGCCAAACAATGCAGACCGGATGATTTGCAGCTCTGCTTGCTCCTACGAGTGTTATGGAAATCACACGGGCGAAAGTGTGAAAATGTTTTTTTCAGACAGAAAAAGAAAGTTGTTGTGTTACAGAAGCAGGTATTAGATTATTTGGTAACACTTTACAGTAAGGTTCATTAGTTAATGCATTTACTAACATGAACTAATCATGAACAACACATGTACTGCACCTATTAATCATAATTGAACATTTACTAATGCATGATTAACATCCAAGTCCGTGCTTGTTAACATTAGTTAATGCATCATGAGTTAACATGAACTAACAATGAACTACTATATTTTCATTAATTAACGTTAACTAACATGAATAAATACTGTAGTAAATGAATTGTTCATTGTTTGTTCATGTTAGTAAATGCATTTTTTAACACTAACTAATGAACCTTATTGTAAAGCGTGACCGATTATTTACCCTCTCCTTTTTAAATTAGTTTATGCATATTTTAATAATTTGCTTCATATTATTGAGTATTTTAAAATGTTCAAAATTATCTCTTCTTAAGTATATCACACTGATACTTATAGTTATTAATTATACAAGTAATATTAATTCACCTTCATAATCATGTTCAACTCCTGACTCTATCCTACTATATAATTATTAATTGTAAAATCAGTATTTTATGCTGGTGGCCAGTCCCCCGGATCAGACAGCCTATTGACCACATACACCCTATACACAATGCTTTCTGTTTTAGAAAAGGCTTTTTCCTCTCCATACCAGCCATCTCAGTCCCCAGTGAAAGAGTTTTTTCAGCAGCAGGGGACATTGTAAATGTGCAAAGACCTCAGCTTTGACCAGAAAACATATATATTCTGATATTTTTAAAACAAAATGTAAAATCCTAGTACTGTCACAGATTTAGTTTGTTTATAATAATGAGTCTTATTTAGATTGTATTATTCTCTTTTTGGGGGAATTTGTTTGTTTTTAAAATAGCAATTAATTTATGGCAGAAAATGTATTATTTTGCAAAAAAAAAAAAAAAAAATGTGCAGTGATTATTATTTTTTTTCAACTAAAAAATATATATTCTATTATGCATAATTAAATATGGAAATTAAATTGGCTTCTTCATAATCTGTTAAGCCACAATTAAGACAAAAATTCTAATAATTGTGACTTCTGATTTTTTTTATGTGCATTAAACACAATATTTTTTTTTTTTTAAATTGGAATAGTACATTAACATCCAGCTTGCTGTGTATTGTGCATGCATTGTATACTACAAAATGCTAAAGCCAAAACGTTGTCAATGATTACAAATAGCATGTCACTTTAAGAAAGTGGAATCCATTTATCTACATTTCACATTTCTATTCAAACTTTAAAATCTCACAGCTTTTATCAGGTTAATTCACTAATTCACTTGTCCTTCTATCTCACATGTATAATTATATGCATTTATAATTTGTATATTTCATGTATATTTATGTTTGAACTGAAAAGTTAGCTTTGCACAATATTCATAGCAAATGTATTCAGTAACTCACAAGTGGTTTACTTTATCATTTAAGTTGTGTGTCATTCTTGGAAGTACAGTCAAATACTAAACCGAAAGAGAGAGATCATAACTGTTGTTGGCATCACTTCCTGTTCAATCATCAAGAAACTAGAAACAGAAAGTACT